GAAGTCTGCAGTCCACAAACTCAATTACCAAAGCTCGATCTGTCCCTGACAACATCGAAGCTTCTCACTAAAATGGCTTGCTGCCGGCCGCCTCAAACCCACCGCGCCCCCACAATCATGGCACGAAGCGTCGAGTGCGAAAGAAAAGGTTTCACGGCTCTGAGCTAAGCACACAACGACAATTTGTTAGACCGCTCCTGTGAAACGGCTGGGTGCCTGCCACCTCGTCCACTCCCACATCCCCATCGCACCCCAACAACGATCTCGACCAGACCACACACACTCCAACAGGCGCCCAAAAGCCGAGGCACCGCCCGAAGTCCACCTTCGTGAGCTTCGGCCACTGGGCGCCCTCGAGCTGCTGCCATGCCGCAGCCGGGATCTGGTCGCACCGCCCCAGGCTCAGGACCTGGCAAAGGGGTCGGGTCGCCACCAAGGCCCCAACCAGCCAAAGCACTCAAGCACTCTCAACCAAGACTCGTCGCAATCTGCACTCCACTATGAACGAGCGATGCGGAATCCCATGCATACGTCTGTTGCCACTCTGTGAAAGCTGTTGATGTCTGATGCTCGCCCGTTCGCCCTCTGCCAAGAGCAAACCCGAAGAGCCCGGTCCAACAAAAAAGCAGCTTGCAAGACTTCACAGACCGTCTTGTGCAAAGGTAGGCGGTCGCGTCCTGCAGCTCGGGGCAGCGGCCGAGGAAGGCGAGAAGCCCGGCCGCAGCCTCGATGCCCCTGGAGCCGCCGCCGAAGCACCTCAGGCTGAAACCCTTGCTGTGCTTCTGGTCCCTGGGGAGCATCGAAACTTCCCACTGAATGGCTTGGCGCCGGCCGCCTCAACCCCACTGCGCCCCTGCACGCTTCAAAAGGTGCCCGAAAAGCCGAGGCGCGATCCGAAGTCCACCGTCGTGAGCTTCGGCCACTGGGCGCCCTCGAGCTGCTGCCACGCCCCAGCCGGGATTTGAGAGCAGCCATCCATGGAGAGCTCCTGGCCGCCCGGGCCGGAATGGTTGCTCCCCCGCCTGTTTCGGGCAAGATCCACTGGTACGACACCGTCTTTGGACGAGATGCCCGGTTCCTCCCAGGCTCTTAAACTCCGAGGCTCAAAACAGGCGTG